TTATAGCATATTTGGATGGTATTACATTGATGATATGATGAGATGAATGATGTTACCTATACTGTGCCCAACTTGTGAAATAGCAGGGTCGGAGAAAGGCTGAACCATCTGAGCGCGTGGGAGCGTCTTGCGCGCTTCCTGAAATAAATCGAGCTTGAGTTTTCAGTATATCATCTAACCTCGTGGGAAAATAACCAGGCACACCAGGAAAATAACAGGCAATAGGTGCTTCATCGAACTGTGTGCTGCTCTCCTGAAACTTCGCCTATTTAGGCCGGGGGAGCGGAGGGCACGCGCTAAATTGGACTCTGATGATGTGTTCGGCCTATTCGGATGATCGCTCAACGCAAAAAGCTGACCAAATAACATCGTTTTTACGCAGTCGCCACGCCCAACGCCCTCACTTGTACCCGCAAAAATTATGGAAATCCCCGGCAGACGGGCGATCCCAAGACTATCATAATATGTCGACCACGAGTTTTTTCGCGATTTTGTGCTCGCCAAAAATACAGGGTTAAAAGCTAGCACTACCGAATACCAAATTGGCACTATTTGGCTGATGAGGGTTAAAAATCGATAATAGAAACATCCTTGGGATGTGCAAGAGGTGGAACAGCAAAGTTTATATATAACGACAAGCCCAACACAAAAAATTTTTATTGACTGTCAAAATTGCTTGGCGTTATCAGGCCTGGGGTTGACCTACGCGCCCACGCAACCTGTCGGCTGACACCTGACCACTAAATTACGCCCCGTGGGGCACATGGGTCCGTCGGTTAGTCTTTGCACTGAAAAATTCAGAATTAAGGATTGTAAAAAGCAAAACCCGAAGGTTTGGACGGATGCCACCAGGGTTGTTCAGTGCGTCCACAGGCCAAAACTTTCGAAGCCTCTATCTCGGCGGGCGAGGGACCTAGCCGCATAAAAATTTGTGGAGTTATAGAGTAAGCGGCGAGGAAGGTTATCGCAAAATTTTAAGGCGATAGAGCTAAGGGCAGTACGGGGATGCACGGTGACGCAGGGGACTTTTTTTCCAACACAGAAGAAATTCCTCAAGTATCTATTGATGAAGGTCTGTTTTAGAAATGTACGTGGCCTGGCTTTAGTTATTGGGCGTACTTGCGATGTGTGTGGGGCCGATGATGTACTTTTCGATGGACCACTTTTGGAGGATCCAGGGCTGCTCTGTGGGCTTTTTGATAGATGTTTTTAGGCTCTTTATCTTGCTTGCGACGTTATCCTATATTTTTTGTCAGATCACGCTCCGATACCGTCGATATTTCTGTCGTCGCACTCGACGGTTCCTACAGTGATACTAATAATATGCTATCAAAGCTATTGGGAGCATACGAAGGGTATTTTCGGGTTGGTATTGATGCGTCGGCGCAAGACGACCGTTGTTCGAGACATGTCCGTCTCTTGGCGGACTCGATAAAGAAGTTTTATCGAAGCCAGAAATTGCATCATGGACCATAAGTACCAAGCTACACCAACAGCTTGGTAACCGCGTCGACAGCGCGAATTTGAAAGTAAATGGAGCTTAACCCACCAATAACAAAAAAAAATGGTCATGGCCACTACGAGACGTTGCTGTAGTAACAGCATATATTTATTACTGGCTGATAGTTATTGCATAGTTATGCTGATCATTGCACGGATAATGAGGACAACACGAAAGCTCAATTTCTAAGGCTTCCCCTCGGTCACATTAATGAGAGCCCCGGGCAAGTCGCTGGAAACGAAGATCCTTAAATCCAGCCATTTTAGCTCCCGGCATCGAAAGCGTTTCCTAGATTTGACGAGTAATACGATTATCGCTTGATGCTAACCTTGATCTGTGCGCTAAAGCGCAGCTCCGGCTCCCCCAGTTGATTCTCGTTTTGCCATTCGAATAACTCCTGGAAAAATTTGCTTCAAAATTTTATTTTGTTTCGCTCGAAAAGGCGCATTTTGCCATCTACTTGAAGTTGTTCAAAAATAGAGCACGCTATCTTTACAGGCAAGGAACAAAATAGGGCCAAAAACAGAAATGTCAAAGCGATAGAGCCACACTTTACATATCGTTGACATCAAGTTCCAGCTTACAAGTTGCATGCTAAGTGCTGATACGAAGTTCAAATCTATGAAGATTGACTATCGACCTGAAGACGCCCTAATGCAGAAATGGAAATTCACTTTGAATGTTCATTAGAATGTAATTTGCAAGCTGGAACTTGATGTTAATGATATGTAAAGTGTGGCTCTATCGTTTGACACTTCTGTTTTTGGCCCTATTTTGTTCCTTGCCTGTAAAGATAGCGTGCTCTATTTTTGAACAACTTCAAGTAGATGGCAAAATGCGCCTTTTCGAGCGCTGCTAGAGAGCTTTTAGCCTACCTTCTCTCTCCGTCGTCGACTCGGACACCTGACGACGGTCACGTTTAAATACCGCCCGTGGCGACAACTTTCCGATTATATCACGCTTGGTCTGGACGGCTGAGAAAAAATTAAAATTTTTTTTACATACTCGATTATAGATATCATTGAGATGCGGAAAGTGATTCACCAACCTCACGGATCCATCCCGGCTTGCAGACATTTTTCGAAGCGGCAGTGTCGGCATTTCAGCACGTGACGAGCTTCTACAATCGGATTTTTGGGATCGGAGTCGATGATAGCTAACTAAGCTAATTTCCAAGAACTTGGGGTCTTGATGTTCAATTTTGTGCGATGCTTTTCCTTCGAGGTCTGTCGCGACTTATCCAAACGAATATTTTTATACCCGACCGGGTCCGCGTGTGTTACCTTTAAGGTAGATTTTTCTGACGTGTCCTCTTTTGCTGCTTTCGATAAACAAAATTCTTACCGTGGTCCGGGAGGCGATCCTCGCCCCACAGGCATACGTACGCCTTGCCCAACACCACCGTTCGGCGGAAGAATGCGCCTGGTATCGTATGTATAAATGTAATAAATATGGTTCAATGGCGCTCACAGCAAGCTTCACAGGATTCGGCACCGAAATGGATGCTACCAAGCGATTCGCGGCCACAGATTTCGCATCGGCGCTAAAAGCGTCTTTGATTTGGTACAAAAATAACGACCATTGACTATTTCGCAGACCTGTAAAGTACGAGTTTGGTTTGGCTGAACTGCGCTGCGAGGAAGGTTGACCGTATCCACCCGACGCTGACCACCCAGTGTGACCTTTAGAAGCTGCTCTAGCTAGAACAAAATTTAAAGGTTTGTGTTTAGACGTTTTGCAGACCTGGCTGCGTGGAGCAAGCTGATTCGCTATTACATTGCGGTGTTGAACATTAGCTAAATAGTTTATTATTGTTGTTGAGCAGCGGCATTGCAGGTCATTGGCTAAAATTAACGGCATTACCAAGGGGAATCCATTTTATATACATTATTGCTTTTTTTAGACTCTAATGGTGGTCTACAAAAGAACGTATTGAAAACCGTACGATCAGTTGCTGTCTGTTTTTCATCCATGCCAATAGATGGTTGCGAAAAATTAGCAATGCAGTCAACCGAAACGCAATTTTTCAGTCTCGACTGATAATCGCGTCGTCCTGCCGGAAATGTTTTGCAAACTTCATTTATATAGCGGCTTTTCCGGGACAAACAACGGTAGGGAGATTTATGGTGGATCCGAGGTGGACCCTCATTCACAGAATCACATGTCGAGCTTTCCTTGGATACGTCGGGTCCATCGAGGGATTGTCGTATGATCCAGGCATTAGCCCACCCCACTCTTCAGAGAGACTCCAATTTTAGTTGGTTATTTTTGCGGTTTTCGAACGAGGGCGGCCCTAATCGCGCTCGAAAATCATCGACCGTCATGAAGACGCCAGGGGTACTGTATGTTCCGCGATGAGATCCACAAAATACATCAAAGGAAACCGAGACAACAAGTACGTCAAGTGACTAGGAATCATTGCTGAACAATTTCGGATCTGCCCTTGGGTAGATTCTTATTAGGATCTGCCTTGCAGCACCACGGATTTCCATTAAAAAAGAATAGAAATTTTTGTACGTTATCGACGGGGCTTTCAGGTGACAATGAATGTATTCTTACTAGTTTTGTTTGAATCATGATTTCTTTATCCTTCTGAACATATATCCTTCTTGACCAGCCCTGAATGGATATTTATTGTACAAAATAGGGGCCAGGTGATGTTTACAACACGATAGAGAACGTTATAAAAATTATTAATAACTGGTAAAGCGGGATCTTATAGATAAGATACAACCATGTAAGTTTTTTTAGGAAGACAATTGTACGACAAATCAAAATGGAAACGAGATCAGATTTAGCCGTGTAGCCCAAAGTACTCCTCGTCCACTTTGTTGGGGCGGTGAAGGCGCAGGCTTTTGAATTGTGACATTTGCTCGGTGGGCTTTAGCACGTCGTCCTAAAATATTGATTCATTAGAAAAATATAGAAAAACACAAATCTCAAAGCCAAATAAACACGTTTATCTGGCTTTTAAATTCGCATTTAACGTACCCGGACAAGCGTGATCAAGTTGATCAGAGCGCTGAAGCGGCTCAGGTTCGTCGGGCTGATTTTCGCCCTTGTGCCAGTCGAAGAGTTCCTGAAATTCTCATTCATAAGTTTAGAATGATGACTGAAAACGGAAAACTAGAGGTTGAAAAAATAAAATAAAAATATAATTGTAAGTATAATATTGTAAAAATAA